AAATTTCAAACGTTGGAAAGCAATCCTTTCTGTTGGCCTTATTATATATAGGAGTAGAAGTGTCCGCAATTCAGGATGACATAAAATCCATCCATAGAGGAAGGCATGTCAATTACGGATTCTATGCCTGGTATCTTTGAAAGTGGAATTGGGACTAACCTCAGCAACATAAGGATATGTTGAATCACGTTCCATCACTTCAAGTGCACGGAGACGGCGATATCCTGATCAACGCGACCGACGGAATAACGGAAACTCGAAGCCTTCGTTTAGGAATTATTCGACGAAGTCAGCTAAAATCTGAACAGACGTAACAACCATCAGTAAGCACACCTCAAATGACAGAAGCGTGTATGTCATCGCTAAGTAGGCATGTGGTAAAAGCTTGATAAAACATCATCGATCGAAACTCGGTAGCAAAATGACGGTTGTATTTTATATCAAGCTCTATCAAACGTCAGCATTTTTCTGCCATTTCGGATAATTTGCTGCATCGCAAACACTGAGCCCCTTGCTCGATTTTCAGTTTTTGGTTAGAGCATATTATTAGGATCTCTTGAAAAGATTAGTATATTAACGAGATATATTCCTCTTGTTAGTCATTTGACTAAGTCAGCGAAGTAAGAAACGCAACCTTCCAGATGAAAAGCGAAAAAGCTCCCGGTAACGACGGTATCAGAAATGAGCTCTTGAAAGCCGATGGACGAACTCTGGAAGGCACTCCCGCTAGATTCGATCGCTACCTCTAGCAACTGGAAGGAATCGAGGACCGTTTTACTCCATAAAAAGAGCGATAAAGAAGATCTGAAGAATTATCGCCCGATCTGCTCGCTCTCCCATGTATACAAGCTGTTCACGAAAATCATTACCAACCGCCTGACAGGGTCACTTGATGAGCAGCAGCCGAGAGAGCAAGCAGGTTATCGAGGCAAATATAGCATTCTTCATTCTAAACCAACTGCTAGAGCGCGCTAGGGAGTATAAACTATCCTTAAGTCTCTTCTTCATCGATTACGAAAAGACATTCGGCAACGCGGAACTCAACGCTGTCCTGAAAGCCCTTCTAGAAGACGGAATCGATGAGAACT